AGTAATAACTTCTAATAAATATACTCAAAATTTTTAAAGTATCGTTATGCATTAATGACTCTCTAAATATAAATCATTGAGGTATAAAGCTAATAAAATTTCTATAATATAATATAGATAAACCCTCAATCGACTTCTAAGTATATCTTCAATATTGCTCTATTAGGATATTATACCTTCCATATTTATATCAACAAGATGAACTATACTGGTCGTATTCAAATTATAAACTCTAGAACTAATTTAGAAAAGGTAATTGAGCCAATTAGCATTATCAATATAATACAATTAATAGAATAGATTCTTAAAGCGTATTTATAGTTTCTATATTTATATCAAGACGAATCACACTGGTTGGATTCAAAAATATAACTCTAGAAATAATTTAGAAAAGGTAATTGAGTCAATTAGCATTATTAACATAATACAATCCATCGAAATTCTTAAAGTGAATCTATATTTTCCATATTTATACCAACAAGAGGAACCATTGATCGTATTCAAAAATGTAAGCTATTAACTTAAAAAAGGTAATTGAGTTAATTAGCATTATTAACATAATACAATCTATCGAAAATTCTTAAAGTAAATCTATACTTTCCATATTTATATCACTGGTCAGATTCAAAAATGTAACTCTAGAACTAATTTAAAAAGGTAATCGAGTTAATTGGTATTGTTAACATAATACAATCCATCGAGATTCTTAAAGTGAATCTATACTTTTCATATTTATATCAACAAAAGGAACACTGATCGTATTCAAAAATGTAAACTCCAGAACTAATTTATAAAAGGTAATCAAGCCAATTAGCATTATTAATATAATACAATCCATTGAGATTCTTAAAGTAAATCTATACTTTCCATATTTATATCAACAAGAAGAACTACTGGTCATATTTGAAAATATAAGCTATTAATTTAGAAAAGGTAACCGAGTCAATTAGCATTATTAATATAAATGCAACTATCAGGATTATTAAAGTACATCCATACTTTCCATATTTATATCGGAAGACAAACCACACTGGCCGCATTTAAAAATATAGACTCTAGAAATAATTCAAAAAAAAAACAATTAAATTAATACATTTCTAAATTTTCTTGTAATAATAAATTAAACAAGAATTGTAATGTAAATAAAAGTTCTATGGTTCGAATTCTTATTTGAATAAAGAAAAGACCTTGTATGAATCCAATATATTTAGTTAGTTTTGATAAAGTACAGTGATTGATTTGATTTGATTCAATGATGCTAATATATTTTTTTTTCAAAATAATGCAATCAAAGTTTACACATTTAAAATCTCACAATTATCGATCTCATGACTTTGAAAACTGTAAATAATTATAAAAGCTATTTACTTTTTTTCTCGTTCACTAATTCATCTCTCTCTTACACCAAGCACTAAATCCAAACTCTACTTACTATATCTAACATGTCCAACACACCATACATTATTATTGATTCTTTTGAGTCTTCTCCTAAAGGTTCTGCGATTCCTGTTCAAAATCCTGGAAGGCTTATCAAACCTGATCATCCCAAAATTCAGGTTGAAAAGAAGCGAAAGATTACAGATTCTCCCTTAGAGTCTTCCAATGAAATTACTGTTAATTCCAATCATTCCAAGGAAAAAAAGCGAAAGTGTGAAAAAGTTTATGAATATTCAGACAAATCTGATGATGACTTTGAAACTTTCTTCACTAAAGAAAGTTTGAAAACTCAACCTATCTTCCACTCATCTATTGAACAGCATTGTGCTGAATCTTTGAATTACAAGTTGTTACAATGGATTGTTCTTAATCAACATCCATTTTCAGTACTTGAAACAAATTCATTTTTAAGATTAATCTTCACTTTTGACCTGTGTTATGAGATTTCAGACCGTCAAAAACTCTCTACCAATACAGTCAGAGATTTTACCATATTTGGTAATCGATGATCTCACCTTATTTAGTAATGATTATCATTCGGATTATTCTAGATTTCATTTTCAGATTGTTCTACGTACTCGATAATTAGCCAATCAAATTGAGAGACTATA